CTCCAGTCCCCGCCCCCGCGCCAGTGTTTTAACCGTCCCGTCCGCCCAGCGCTTAGCCCAGCTCCCCCTCCCCCGCCCCGCCTCTCACAGCCTGCCTTTGCAGCAGCTCGGACCTTTGGGGGCATCGGAGAAGCACGCAGTGAACATTTGCAAAATCTGTCTGCCCAGGCCCGGGGAGTGTTGACCAGGCCCAGCTCTTCTGTGGGGCCCCGCCCCCGCGCCAGTGTTTTAACCGTCCCGTCCGCCCAGCGCTTAGCCCAGCTCCCCCTCCCCCGCCCCGCCTCTCACAGCCTGCCTTTGCAGCAGCTCGGACCTTTGGGGGCATCGGAGAAGCACGCAGTGAACATTTGCAAAATCTGTCTGCCCAGGCCCGGGGAGTGTTGACCAGGCCCAGCTCTTCTGTGGGGCAGGGTACTGAAATGTCCTGTCAGTGCTATTAATTAAAAGCCTTCCCCAGTGCTGGGGTCTCCCTCTCCTTCCTCAGATTAGCCAGGCTTTGGACAGGTCTGAATCTTGTTCTTTACAGTCCTGGTCAGAAATTACTAGAAGGGATTTAAATTAAAGTGTTTTAAAAATATTTGAGTCTGGTTTAAGAAAAAAACCCAGATTCCTATGTATCAAAGTGATGAAGAATTACCCATTTTGAGTGTGACCATGCCAGTCCTTACACCTAGGCTGTGTCTACACTGGGCCACTTATTCCGGAAAATCAACCGCTTTTCCGGAATAAGCTGCGAGCTGTCTACACTGGCCCTTGAATTTCCGGAAAAGCAACGATGCTCTACTGTACAAAATCAGCCGCTATTCCGGAAAAACTATTCTGCTCCCGCTCAGGCATAAGTCCTTATTCCGGAACACTGTTCCGGAAAAGGGCCAGTGTAGACAGCCCAGTAGTCTTTTCCGGAAAAAAGCCCCGATCGCGAAAATGGCGATCAGGGCTCTTTTCTGGAAAAGCGCATCTACATTGGCCACAGACGCTTTTCCGGAAAAAGGGCTTTTCCGGAAAAGCAGCCTGCCAATGTAGACGCTCCTTTTCCGGAAAAACTGAAAACGGAATAGTATTCCGTTTTAAGCATTTCCGGAAATTCATGCCAGTGTAGACACAGCCCTACAGTTTTTACATGGTGCCAGTATCAAGTGGATGCAAAGTACCTTTAGCGATCATTGAAGTCCTTGGGAGCTGAGGATGTCATTCAATCTTTTGCTGGATCAGGCTCATTTAAATTACTAATGGCCCAAAACTGTAAAGTCCTGAACCATGGTCAGCTACAAGAGGCCAGGTTTAACAAAACATTTAGATCAACATAATTATCTCACTTAGGGGTGTGAAAAATTCACAAGCGGTTAAGCCAAACACCTGCCGTAGATGCAACTACATTGACCAAAGAATTCTTCCATTAATCTAGTTCATGGGTTCCCAAACTGGGGGGGCATGAAGAAATTACAGGGGAGGGGGCATGAGGCGACCCAGCCACATACATCCCCGTCAATACCACCCCAAGTTTTGCTACTATTTTTTGGGGCGGGGGGGCATGAGGGTTTCTCAGAAATCAGAAAGGGGGCATGATGCTGAAAAGTTTGGGAACCACTGATCTAGTTAGTGCTGCTGCTCCAAGAGGTGAATTACCTACATTGACAGAAAAATAACTTCCCTCAGTACAAGAAGCATCTACTCCAGGGGTGGCCATAGGCCAGATGTGGCCTACCCCTGCAGTAAAGAGCAGCTTCACACTGCTCAAAGCAGCTCTCTGCATTTTGGGGGGAAAGGGAAGAGGCTTGCCACTGCACTTGCCCCCAGCACAAGCTTTCAGTTCTTATTGGCCAATTTCTGGCTAATAGAAGCTGAGAGATTGTGCTGTGGGTGGAGGCAATGTATGAAGCCCTTCCCCTTTCTCACTGCCCCATTTCTCCCCTCTGCCCCAGTAGAGATCCACATGTAACAGCCTAGGAATGTAATACGCTAGTCGATTAACAAATAACCAAAAGCTTATAGACTACATGCATTAGCTGCCCCCCTTTGCCAGTAAATTTTTTAGCAGGCTGGCTAGCAGCCTGGCTCAGTCCTGGCCTCCACCGGCTCCTTGGTTCAGTCTTGGCCTCCACCAGCTCGGGGACCTATCCCTGCTGCAGCTCTGCATTTTAAGCAAATTAGCAGGGCTCGCCGAACTGCGGCGAGCCCCTCTCGCCAGCTGTGCTGTCTGGCGATCTGCGCATGTGCAGATCGTTCTGCACTTGTGCAGATCGCCCGAACTCGGCTCTTCCAGGTTACGATCTACTCGCCCTGGGCGAGTAGATTGTATCATTTGTCGAGCCCTGCATATTAGGAGCCAGGCCAGCAGACAGCCTGGCTCAGTTATGGCTTGCGTGGGGTCTGGGAGTTCAGGCCTCCCCCTCCATCTGGATAAAGGCTGGTGCCACCCCAAGCTGTGCAACAGTGCGGGGTAACAGGCAACCAGCCTTTAAGGGGAGCTGGTTTTTAAATGGGTTCCCCTTGTGGACCAGCTCCCATCTGGCACCCCATGCTGCTGCCTCTAATAAAGGCAACAGTGGGGATGGAGTGCACAGGCTGCCAATCTCATCCCCAGGGACTATAGAATAGTTGACTAACTGATAAAAATTCATGAGGTTAATCGACTATTCAATTAACCGATATTTAACATCCCTATAATAGCCAGCTGCTTTGAATAGCCTGGGGCTGCTGACAGGCAGGGAGCTTGCCTTAGGGTCCCATTGGGCTGCTGCCTGGGAGCTGCTTAAGTAAGCGCCTCCTGGACTAAGCTTCCTTCTGGCACCTCATCCCCTCTAGCACCTGCCTCCTGGACTAAGCTTCCTTCTGGCACCTCACCCCCTCTAGCACCTCAACTTCCTCCCAGACTCTGCCCCCCTTACACCTCTCCTCCAGACCAGAAGCCTCTCCTGCACCCCTCCTGGACCCTGCACCCCAATCCCTTGTCCCAGGTCACCAACCAAACCCTTTGCACCTTATCCCCCTCTGTCCCAGGTCACAATCCCCTCCTTGGACTCCATATCCTCTACTGTACCCAGTCCCCTAGCACAAGCTTCTTTCTGCACACAACCTCCATTACAGACCTTATACCCCCTCTGTAGAAATGTGTAGCCCTTGACCACTTACTAAAATCTTGGAGTGCCTCCCCATTAAAAATTATTTCCCACCCTGATCTGTATTGTGCATTTACTGTGAATAGTTACAGTGCTGCAGCTCTGCTGTTTTAGTGCTGTGGTATAGACATGGCTTAAAATGGAGTTGAATGCTGAGGTCTCTGGGATCTGGCTGTGAGAACTGTTTAAGTAATGTTAGCTGACTTGTCCTGAACATATTTAAAGATATTTCATGGATTTGGGGTTTGACATTAATTTTCAGTATGAAAACAAGTCGCAATTTTGGCCCATTTCGGAATACAGTATCCAAACCAAATAAGATGATGAATACCATTCACTAGGGATCAAAAAGACAGTGGCTCCCCCAAACTAAATTCTTAAGGTAAAGAAGATAATGTACAGAATCACCAGATGTAGGAGACCAACAACCAGTTATCCAAGTTTGAGTGGCATAATCTTGAAGCACCAAAGACAGTAGTTGGCATGAGCAAAGAATATAATGCTGAAACAGCACTGGTCTATGAATCATTAATTATTTTCTTCAAAATCAGTATTAAAAATGTATTTTTAATCTTATCTTTAGGTAACGACACATCTTTAATTAAGATGTCCTCAGCACCTGAGCCACCAGATATTAAAAAAGAAGCACCTAAAGAGAAAGACAGTCGAATTCCAGGACTCAGAGGTGTCCGAACAACCACCCTGTTCCGAGCTGTCAATCCAGAGCTTTTTATTAAACCTGTAAGAAACAACTGTAGAGACAATATGTTTAAAGATGCATTTTTGAGAAATTTAAAAAAAAACACCCACATTTAAGTCAGTAGTGTTATATGTACTACCTAAGAATGCTATAACTGAAAAATAGTTTTCACATTTTTCTAGTTTGATTACTTTGTATAATGGATAATAATGTGTGTAGTCAGTTTCCTCTATATACAGGCAGTCCCCAGGTTACGTACAAGATAGGTACTATAGGTTTGTTCTTAAGTTGAATTTGTATTTAAGTCGGAACTGGCTCCAGATTCAGCCGCTGCTGCTGAAACTGACCAGGGGCTGACTACAGGAAGCTGGAGGCAGAATTGCTCTGCCCCCAGCT